AGCAATTTGTTGGTGACATCATGATGAGATGTTTGCAATATTTTCTGATTGTAAATGTCACATGGTTATCAGCACAATGTTCTGCAAATCTCATCAAGACATTTTTAAAAAATGCAAGTTTCTGTAAAGAATAGCTATGCCGCAGTAGCAATTTAGATATATAAACAATCAAAGTTCGAATAGTTCTGCACCTTTTCCACTTAGGATTTGGTCGAAGACTCCAACGGAATAGTGGAATAACTCTTACAGTGGAATAATACTTATAGGATCGAATAATAAATACGATGGAAAACAACCAATAAACTTACGATTGGAAATATTCAACTGGCGTTCACTATCTCTAATATCGTCTTTAATCGCTTGTAATATTTTAGAGTGAATAATCTTCTACCTCTTCAAAGCAAAAATATTTCAAAGCCAGAAAATTGTTACAATTCCCAGATTGTAGTTCATATGGAATAACTCTTTGCTTCTCTTACAACCAGTTGGTGTATACAAAAAATAATCATATAGGAATGGAGAGATATTGGCAAAGATGTACAGGAAATGCATTTTGTGGCATAGGTTTTGAAGATTACTTGGAAATTAAACAAAAACCTAAATCGAATCGTACATTCGACGATGACGAAAATGTCTGCAATGAGTTGTGGAAATGTAATGAAATCAAAAAGTCGAGCGTGCTAGGCATGTTGGACGGATTCGATCATGTACAATAATAATAGAACAAAAATTTGTTGAGTATTATTATCGTCCATCTGGTCCCTTGTGCTAAAAAAATTAGCGAAGCATGATTTATGATTTTCGGCCTGAATGAAAATCGGGTGTTACTGTGGCGTTCTGTGGCGTTCTGTGGCGTCAATTGTTTACATTTATGCGCAGTACCCACTTCTGAATCATAAGACATCTGTTCTTCATTCGTGCTTGTTATTCAACCCACAAGCACGTATCACTGTGACAGATGAGACAAACGGCAGACATTCATTTCAAAGGAGTCCGACTGCCCGAATGAGATCTCTTCATGGCCGAATGTCACATTACGTTAATTGCTATACTAATATGATAATACGTTTCCGTTTCCGTCGTTAATTACAAGCGCTAACGGTGGGGTTCTTGACGTTTGATAGCTTTGCCAGTGGGATTGTGAAGGCTTTTGATACGGCAAAGATATGGAAGACAGCATGAAAAAGAGATTGATGATTACTATTGGGAGGTAAGCCCGATCTGTCGAGAATATTGAAGATTGGCGTTTCCATTATTTGTTTGCCTCCGATTATGGAGCCAGCGCCTAGAATCGAGCTCTTTATTTCCAACATATGTTTAAGGTGCGTACATCTGTCGTGAATTTAAGTTTACCATAAATCATAGCTGCAATTAATCCGGAACCCCAAAGCTGCCTCAATCAAATAGGCCGTATTTGTTGCTAACCGGATGAGATCAAGTTGAATTATGCGTTTATTTGACGTTGTTAAGCAGGGGCGTGGGCTTACCATCAATATTATTAGGTGTTGAGACGGTGATGGTCCCATTCTCCCTGTGCCGTAACGTTACATTACCTCCACCCTCCTTATAATAATACTAATAGTTAAATATAGTATTAACGAAGTCTTATTCTCTTTTACTAGTCAAGTAGTGAAGTGATCGATTATAGTATACCTTCCTATCGCCGTCTCTCATCAATAGAGCCATCCGATGTTTCCATCAATTTGACGCATATAACAACATCGTACGCTTCAACGTTGTTCATGATCGCCTATTGTGAGGATCCAATGAGATGCACTTGTTAATTACTCGAGAACGATTCTTGTCATGAAGGAAAGAATAAGCAAGTGACTATGTTAATGGAAAGTAGATACATTTTTATTTCATACATTGTTTTTGGGTAATATGATACAAGGAAGAACGGGGTAAAGGAACGAATATATATCGGTTAAAATGTCAATTCATCATTTCACATGTATCTTTGAGACAGGGGCAGATAAAGTAACATTGTACACGAAGAAGCATTCTTCTTTGGAAAGGATAGAAAGACAGGTTATAAACAAGGAGTGTATATAAGTAAATAATCCATTTCAAAAATAATATCACGAAAATAATTTATGTCGGAATACTGCCGACATCAACTCTTCAATCCAGTCCATATTACCTACAACATGACAGAGCAATAATAATGAAGAAAGACAGTCCGAAAATAATAACGTGGACACGACAAGTCCAAAAGAAGAGCCAAACCATCCTATAACATACAATCGGGATCTCGATGTAGGAAAACTTACCGCATGCCATTATTTTCCGCATATTCTCACTATCTCGTATGTCTGACCAATTAGCGACCGCAAAATCTAATGCAGCCGCCCTCAATTGAGAATCGCCCACTTCCCAAGCTAATGTAAGAACCTCATTCCAATTGTTTAAATCAACCATCTCTGCAATTCTGTCGGCTACCATTTCACCAAATTTTTCAAGATTCAACATATCGGCCTTGGAATAAACGTCTTTCAGCACATCGAATTGTAAATCCTCTTCCAGTCCCCCAGTATATAGATAATAGAGAACTGAACGAAATGTCGTATATTCCATCTGTTTTATTGCTATTGCCTTCATCTGTGACTCTCTCCATTTGTCTCCCAACAACTTTTCAAAATATTTCGATCTTGTTGCTAGAATTATCCGATGAGCCTTGATACGATTTCCACAGTCGAACGTAAACTCTACATCGCTATATCGTGAATCGTTCAAGTGCTCAGCGAATGTTGGGAATTCAAATACATCAGATTCAATTGGCACCTCGCATTCTTGGGGGACATCATTGAAAATCTTGATACGTATTAACAAGTCAACATCGTCACTCAAATCTCCATTAGGAAATAAACTATCAAAAGAACAGAAACGATGTCGACCAAAGTCATCTAAACCTTCAAACTCGAATTTCATCGTAAAAGTCTCATTTCGAATAAGCACTGGGGTTTGTATGGATGTGGTGGTATCAGTGTACAAGCGAAAAACCTCTAGACGGAATTGCTTCTCTCTACAAGTTATATTATTTGATTTTTCATATGGTGTTTGAATTGCTACGAGATATAAGGATATATATGCTTTAGCTTGTTCGTTAACACCATTAGGGTATAGTTTTGCACGCCATAAATAAGGATTCTTCGAAGGGAGGCGCGGTGACCAGAATCTCTCACTAAGAACAAAATGAGAGCTTGGATAAAAGCTCACAAGTTCGTTAAAATTCTTGATCGGCCACGAGTAAGTGAAACAATCTTGAGCATTCTTCAAAGGTTGTCGTGGCCCCTGGTCGGAAGTCATATCACGAGAGTCGTTATCTCCTACAGGAGCCGGTAGTCCGCTTTCCCTAGTACGTCGTGACAGCGAACGGGCAAACCGTTTACTGCTGTGTGCAGAATAGTGAACAAAGTCACGAAAGAGCCAAAATTTGTCGATTGTGAATAAATGATCTCTTCAGCATACGTTGGGCGAAAACGAGGAAGTCAACCACATACAAACAAATTATGTTGGGCATTAAGAGACGTTTCGCGGAAATCGTGAGTAAAGGGACATTAAGAGAGATGCACGATTCAGTCCACTTTCGGGTCCGAGAGAACTTCCAGAGACAGATATATAAAAAATTTAGTACAACCTGACTGATGCCCTTGACGAATGCTTGGTTTCCTCTTCGATGTAATGCATGCATGGGTGCCCTCGCTTTCCTCAGATCGTAGCTGTCTATACACGTGATTTATAAATTGAGTAGATGTTCACTGAAACGATTTCAGGGGTAAAAATCAGTTGATAAAGAAACCGTATTACCAAAACGAGTAGGTGTAAAAAGATCTTTACAACGCAATTCCGAAGACATTGTAATGACGTGCCAGTATATTCGTGCGATGATATTTGGCACTATAAACTTAATACATATTTACCACTGTACATTCTATTTTAACTATTTACAGAGCGCTTAGCGGCTTTGGTAGACGACCAATAGAGTCTTTATTGGAATTAGAATGGCTAAAACTTCGACTAAGTAATTAGAAAATCAATCGAAAGCATTCCCGTAGAGTTGAAGCTGTGATAAAAAATAAAGAAATTCTAATCGTATATTTAAGAAACCGAGTAAAATAAGCACGTTTTGTTGGAGTTGCTGCAGGGTGTCTGTAAAAGTGGCCATCAATAAGTGTTCCGAATTTAGAGGCGAAAGTGTTTATCAGTAAAACACATGAGAACCTTCATGGTCTCAAAGCGCAACATATTATGATATTTATACAAAAAAACTTAACTTATTGCAGAAAAAGTTAAACAATAATTAAACTATGTAATTTTAGCTCAGTCCGCGTCATATTTTACCAGTCAAAAATGTAAACAACATTTTTATCTATTACGCATCCTAAATAAAACAAAGTCAGCAAACACTTGTGAATGACAGTTATGTGTACTCTCTTTATCACATTATTAGAATGAATATGTCAATTCTGTGCCTGAGCTAGCAAAGGTCCAAGCTATCAGTTACAACCGTGCGATGTTGTTAAAAACTGGCACATTGAACATAATAATAGAGGGTTTAGAGAAATTTTGACAGAGGAAATGAAATTCTACTCCAGAGCCCGTTTTAATAATTTAGTTAATCAGTTGCGACTGCGTTTTGAAAATAACTGTGAGCGAATATAATTTTACATTGTGCAATATACTAATACGTACTAAATTTACTGTTATATTTTCGTAGTACACAGTGAAAATCGATATAACGGACCATCGATATAACGGACCGTCAATAAAACGGACCTTTTCTCCGGAACGGAATTTGTTTGCTAATAATATCTGATATAAAACCCACAAGTCGATATTACGGATTAAAACGCAGGTCCCGAACAGTCCGGTATATCGACTTTCACTGTATAGCTATACCTCTCATACATACTGCTTTAGCATGATAATGACAAAAACAGTGAAGAGAGAAAAAAAGCATTAGACTGCAAAAGTACCTCCTACTCTTGGACGGTGGGTGGACGTAATATGGTATATAAGATTAGTCGCAAAGATTTACACGGTAAACGAAAATATTTGAACAACGATGCAATGTAACACAAGCGTTGAGAATGAGATTTATTCACTTGAAAAAATAAAAATTTTTTAATTCAAACTATGTCGTTAGCATCAGGGACTGTTAACAATCCAGCAATTGACAACTTGGTTCAATCCTCCTTGGAAAGTGAACGGAGATACTTAAGACTTGAATGGATTCCTTGCTCGGAAATCGCCGACATAAAACCAACTCAAATTGACAACGTCTACTACACTATTCGCTATGCACTGGTATTCCTTGGAAGTAGCGAAGAATGTACACCAACGTTCGTGAGCGAGTTTGCTAGAATATACTCACTTCCGACAGACAAATATAATGATAATGTCAGTCACTTTAGACGATATTCCCGATGGCTTAATAAGCGCAACGCATACATAAAAGGATTCACCAAGTATGACGACAAGTATTACATGGTTGCTGATAGGAAGTTTTACGATTGTTACTCTCGATATGGATTCTGCACCGCATGTGGAATACTCCGATGCAGTCCCGTGTGGTGCATTTGCGGTCATAAACAATTATCCGATGGATGGACTAGCAACAATAAACAACTCGATGAGTTTATCAAGAAATCTCAACTACAAACAAACTCTGCAAATCATGCTTATTTAGAATGGATTCCATTCGATTGTGTTGACGTTAGGGCATATGGCGTGTACTTATATGTGCTACCTATTACTGATTCTGCACGAGTTACATTGACTCCGCTTGAAATAACAGATGAGATGGATGATTCATATTATGACAAGGTGACTGTCAAATACAAAATATATTGTTTAAGAAAATATTGATTGATGTATAATTACACTAGTTATATGATATTCTTACTACGGATGTTTGGGTTACCATCGGATTCACATATGATCCAAGTAAACAGACGTACTGTCTAATAAAAGAATATGAGGGGCATGGAATATGTCTGGCATGTACATGTCGATTAGAACCTAAGATAAATGCATTCTGTTATCATTGTAAAGCACCACAACCTGTTGATTGGACGACTGGTAACAAATCTTTGGATTCATTTATTATGGAGTCGTGGAGTAATACAGAGAACGTATGTGATGCGTACATACAATGGATTGAATACTCTCTATTGACAAACATACAAGGGATGACATCATTACGCCATGGATGCACACTTATAGCGGATTGGAGAACAAATGAATTGACACGCGTGACACTCAAAAAGATAGGTGACAAAGGGGACGACCAGTCGTTTGATTTTCATCAGGTAAATTATCTCACGTGTAAAATGCAAAATAGTGTTATTAACGTGTGTATCGCTTGTTTAAAAACAGATCATTGTTGTAACAACTGTATTTGTTTACTCAAATAGCTAACCAAGGAATACCCAGATATATTAACGCCAGATAATATTTGGATAATTGGAATCACTCAGGAGCCATCTACTCGGGAATATTATTTAGTGTTCTACCACGACATACATGCACTGTTGGACAGGTTTATACAACTTAACGATGATGTTAAGTACATGCAATATAGCGACTTTTACGAACCCAAAGAAATCGGATCTGGTGGTTATGGAACAGTTTATACTGCCAAATATAAAGAAGAAGAGAATATGCCACGAACTGTTGTACTCAAACGGTTTAAAAGTTTTGATGAAACGGCGGATTTGTTTATTTCCGAGGTAAGCAATAATTGGTAGTGTTAATTAAAGTAATATTTAACTTGATATTGTATTTGTTTTTATCTAATAGTTCAGAAATCATGTCAAGTGCACTAGTACTAGTGATGATTATTCTTATTTCCTTGAAATTTATGGAGTCACACAAAACCCAGAAACAAAAGATTACATGATTGTTATGAAATATGCTAACAACGGTAGTCTTTTGTCTTATTTGGATCAGAATATTAACAAATTGACGTGGAAGATGAAATTAGATCATTTGAGCAATATTGCATGGTATCTGTTTATTATTCATGCTTCGGGTTTAGTGCATTGTGATCTTCATGGCGGAAACATAGTTTTACATAATACAGAATCATTCATATGTGATCTTGGTCTCTCACGATCAGTAAAATCACACGAGTCAAATTCAACCACCATTCAAGGCGTTTTACCCTTTATTGCACCGGAAGTCTTCCATACCCGCAAATTTACGAAGAAATCAGATGTGTATTCTTTTGGTATTATTATGCATTTGATGGCTACTGGTGAACCACCATTTAGAGATAGGCAGTTTGATACAAGTTTAATGCGCGAGATTATGGATGGACTACGACCATCGATGCCTGATTCCGCACCAGAGGAATACAAGAAACTTGCCGAACAGTGTTGTGATGCTGATCCTGATAAGCGTCCATATACAAGCACAGTTTGGTTGGATATTGGCAGGCTTATTGGAGAGGTGGACAAGGGCAATTCTGACAGCAACGCATGGAATGCCGTTTATCATAATGATGTAAAACCGTTATCACGTCTCGAGAAGGAGAGTAAATATTCTAGTACGCTCTTACCTACTGGAGATTTGCCTAAACCAAGAAACAGCTAGGATTCTCATCAGTTACTCCCTTATCAGATTTCAGCTTACCAAGTTTAGGGGGGAGTAAGGGAGTGGTTTGGATTTAGTGGCGGTTACGAAGACAACAATTGGTTCGTGTTCATGTAAACAAAGTCATTCTACAATATTAACATCGTCCACTGCTTATGATTTAGTGACTCAAACACTCTTGTAATTCACGGCTATTTACAGTTATTTCAAGGATTTACTCCTCTTCCAATTAAATAAATTAAATACGATATGCTTCCATGTATGTCAATATGAGTTAAAAAGATACCGAAATAAAATCGTGTATGTTTACTGTTAGCTGCCCTTTGGAAGAATTGAATGTATAGGCTTATAACTCCACAAATATCCAACCAAAATTAAACTGAGCCAGATGATGTACATATTTTCATACCCAAACCATGCAATCGCCTAATAAGGTAAGATTTTCTTGCAATAGCCACTTCGTGACTAGGATGCAGACAAGAATCCTGGAGATGTGCTCGAAATTTTCCGATTGACATTCCTGTAAAAACTAAAACCTTAGTTTATTCCACTGCTTATCGATGGTATTACGCGAGTGATGAACTCATGTTCCTCGAAGATCTATCGCCACTCTTTTCATGATATTGCTGCATAGCCTTGACGCGTAACAATCAACACAAATAAAACTTGCCATAGACAAGTGCGCTATCAATATGTGCCAAGAACTGCTCTGAATAACGTTTGATTTGCCCATACACTTATCGGAGCAACTAGCCAATTGCAACAATAATAGAACCCATGTTCAATATTAATATCTCGGATCGAAGAAGCATGGAAAGGCGACGCACTTGATACACCGAACTGCATGTCGAGCATAATCCTACACGTACTTCCGACACTTGAGTGACTTATCCGGTTATGCCCCCGAACCCCTCATGTGACCAGAACCAACGCACACACTTTTAAGCGATGGCGTGTTCTGTCCGAAGAAGAGAATTAGCAAAAAGAACAAATAAGCAAATACGAATTCATAAATACTCGACGCAAGAATTACCGCAATGTATGACGTGATGGTCGCTGTAATATCATAGCCCATGCGAGTCCGAAGCAATTCATTCAAAGTCTCCAACTCATCTTCTGTACTTCTACGTACTAACTTTTAGTATTACCTGAAGCAGCATTTCTGTCGGAATTATTCATCAAGGCTCTAAGAAGTTGCATTTGTATTTCTCCAACCCAACTTTGTTATAATGTGTCATCAAGCTTGAGTGTGAGTGATTGGCTGTTATATTGTAAGTTTGTAAACTGCAGCTTTTTCGATGAGTTAAATCTGCTTTGATAAATGATCATTAGCGACATTGATCAGTGAACATATTAATATTAATATGGGATTGCTGGCGGCGAACCCGTTTCCTTTGGCATTAAAGTATGACGACTTTTGATGACTGCTAATTGAGAATAAAGCAATCTTTGACGAGAAGTAATGCAAACAGTTTATTATAGGTGGTTCATAATTTGGAAGAAAAGTCGTTAAGACTTGATGTTTTGGATAGATAACGAATCGAATAAGAGTGTCTTATTGTGTTAGGTTCACAGTATTAAAAAGCTATTTCATTTGCCTTCAGCTTTACTCGTAGCTGCAATCTGAATTCTGCTTTTATCTTTTACTATATAACTCTTATATCTAAAAGAAATTTATCCGCCTTTAAAAATTATTACTGTTAACACACTACTATTACCACTTTACTTTGAGACGGCATTGGACCGAAGAGGCGTGTTATTCGTCTTTTCGTGATTTGTAAATGCAGAAAGATGATTTTCTTCGAGTTCTCCGTGTAATTTTTGGTAGACACTGGAGGAAAAAATTGCTCGTCATGTACAGCAATCAGATTGAATATAGGTGAGACGACTTAAGTTAAAATAGGGCGTGTTATTAACATCATGAGATATACAGATAACGTGCACTTATCACACAAGTATTTACAGTAAACACAAGTCCGCTCACACAGAGTGTTATGCAGCTGTACGCTATAAAATTTCAGAGGATTTATCAGGCCTTCCAAGACTACAAGTTAGAAATTATTATTATTCCATTATAAGGCGAGTGAGGTTTACATAACAGAATATCGAGTTACATGACACAATATTAATATCGTGATAACTAACGTGTGTGACATGTATAATCACGATCAAAGCAATAAACTAGACTGTCAACGGCGGCAGTTTTATTACATACCTACCACTTTTTCCTAACGGCTTTGTTTTTATTTTTGCTATTTAATTCTGTTCGAAAAGGCGACTAGAAATCAGAATTCTGTTTACAAATTACGGTATTGCTATGTATTCGAGCATTCTTGTAAATAGTTATAACGATTTAATAGAGCCTAATTAGCAATATTAGAATTATAATAGTTTGAACAATTTTAATTTACTGGCGCAGAGTAACTAATTTAACGCAAAGTCTATTGTTAGGACAATCTATTGTTAGAACAATTTTGGAAAAAAGATATAAATAAAAGACCTATAAATAATATTAGTGAAAGTCTTTTGACCTCACTATGGAATGAAAAATCCCCTTTATAATCACCGGTATTGTGTAACTAATTAGCCAACTTCACTAACACTTAGTATAGGTTATACCCACAGTTATATCTGCTCCATTCAGAATTGTACTCCATTGGCTCCATTGGCTTCATTGGTTCCATTGACTCAATTGTGGCACAGTAATTTTGTTGGCAATGGAGCGAATGGAATCAATGGAGTATGTTCCATTGCTCCATTAGCGAATGGAAAAGTTGCTTTTTTAGGATGGCCAATAAAATGTCAAAGCGTCTTATCTCCCATCTCATGTTTTAATATCACGTGTTTTATTTTGTGAATGGATACCATTAGAGCGATGGAGCATTGGACTGGAGCAATGTTCCAGTAGGTTGCGTACTTTTCTTGCTTTAGACACAAGAGAAATTGCATTACTAGAAAGCTCGCGATCGTTTAAAGATTTTCTTAAGATCGATGTGTCGGACGACTATACCACACACATCAAGATTACGATTGCTCGTAGCGATTGGACTGATAAAGAATTACGTACTTTAGGGACAATATTCGGCATTATTCAATCACATCGATTTACTTACAAATAATTGAAGAAGCAGCAATTTTACAAAATAGGAGAGTATTAATATTAGTTTTATAGCTATTCACGCATGATCGATCTGTAGTCTAGTCTATTCCCTTACCCTCTTTAAGTTACAATACGTAGCATACGCAACTCTGTTCTCTCCTGTAACAAATTAAATCTTACATTAAACATACAGTGTGTAACGAAAATAATGGCGGTTGGGAAATATACAGTGATGATTACTGAAAAATAGCAAAACGCGTTTGTTTTGTGATTCTTGTATTAATATTGATTTATTTACATCTTGTAATAGACAAACTGTTTATCGTTGCTTTCTGTTTTCCCTTTCAAAAGATACAAGATTTAAACCTCTGCGTCAAATTATTTCACATTTTGGCATGACAATGTTATTTACAAGAAAAAAACGGACATTCCGCTTCATCCTGTTGAGAGTAATTTACAAAAGTCACGTTGAGCGTAAGTAAGCGTGCTAATTGTATGTCATCGAAGGTTACATAACTCTCACACTCGCTCTTTGGGCCAATATATTTTTCGGAATTCGATTCTTACGCACAACATCTGACAATTCAAGCTAAAAAGGAGAATATATATAAATTGCACCAAAGTGAAAAATTATTATACTGATATAAATTTGTAATAGAAAAAATGGGGATAGAAATTTATATTAAAATTTATTTGATTAGTAAAGTATGTAACAGATTCAAGTAGACAAACTTCTGTCTAATTATCTCTTGTGCTTGTCGAGATATGAGTTTTTTATTATTTTTGTTACACACTGTAAGCGTATTAATACAGATTTTAAGAATAGTATGAGTACAAGATATGATAAAATTAATATTTAAAAAATGGTTTAAAACCTATTTTATGTATCAAATGAGTTGGAAACGAAGGTAAAATTCAGGGCAATTATTGTCTACTACTATAATTAAAAGTGAAAAGATTCTAAATAAGATATTTAAGATATTTATATCATCAATATACTGTCAAACTATTTGCGCTACCAATATTTATGTTGCTTACGTAATGGCACCGTTATCAAATGACGGAGCGTTCGATGATGACTTGACATTTCCTTTTCTTTTAGGAAATGAACGTTGGTTGTGATAACAATTAGCTTGATTTCTTGCCCTGCTCCCTGGACGTTTCTAGAGAACGAAGATATGGGTACTACACATAAAATTTTTGCTTTTAACCATGATATTCAACTTTTGCAATATATAAAGCAAGAATAGATTGCCAATTGCGCAATGACTCGCCGGTAAAATGAGTAATGAACTGTTACCTCAGCACGTGGTAGCTGCGATTGACATTCTGATCTATGCAAACATTAACATAATCTTATCTTCACAAAGTTAATGACGACACAATCATGATCTAATATCACCAAATGACGATACATGCATAATCTCAATGTCGTAATGATATCCTCAAATGGGAAGAATACTAAATATATTTAATACAGTGTTCCCGACACATATCATAAAAAGATTACAATACCTAATCGATGTCACTGTCTACAATGCACCAATAAACGCTGACAGATTGATTATTACCCTCTATGAGCTGATCCTCCATGTAGTTCGTAAATAACAAACGAAATAGGCAACTCGAGATCTTTTTAATTTCTCTTCCATTTCACCACGCTCGTATTGTTATTATGACAATTCGTATAATATGAAACCAGAGTTTTTAATCTCGGCTTCTTCGTCTAATTATAATCCTCAATAGCGTTGTGTTGTTTTGGTTTTTAGTGGGACGAATTAATTATAAACTTAATTAAGTCAAAGCCACAGTCACACTATAAATTTACGACTACCATTCCTTATCAATTTGTATTGGAATTTATCACATGATAACTGCCCTTTAGGGTCCCCCCCGTTCTAGGAGAACGAGTATTAAGACATACAAATTCAGATTCGACACCCCTCCCAGACGGTCCTTCATCGTTAACAGCTAATCTACTAATGGTAAGTTAGCAGTTGCAACCGCTCATAGTCGTTCTCGATTGTTGGTTCTGTCAAACACTTGAGATCACCGGTGGACAGTTAACATATTAGTTGTGTTATACCGCTTCCCCACCCCCCAAATAATTACAAGAATATTATTAATTAAACAGTAGTATAGCTGGTTTTTTTGGTTTGAAAGGCATTTCCGCATGGTCAAACCAAGAGCAGAAAATGGTGTGGTTTGAATGACTACTTTATTGGTTGTAATTACTAAGTTTCATATCGATATTTTATACAACAGACAGACGTGATGGCTTCAACAAGGTCTCCCCTACCAGACTCTGACCGTGACTGGCAAAGACCGTCTCCATCAGTTTCAAATCAAAGACGCACACAAAGTCGTCCGAACCGCCCCATAAGCCAAGCAATACATCAACAAAAATCATCCCAGCTACCTACTCAGAATGTTTTGCAACCGAAAACCGTGCCTACATCAAATACCGCAACATTAGTACTCATACCAACAAATAGCACATTTAATCAGAAAGTTATTAATCTCGCAGACAAGGCTAAAGTCCGTATAGGGCGACAGACTAATCCAAAAACTGTGCCAACTCAATATAATGGCTACTTTGATAGCAAAGTTCTATCAAGAGTCCATGCAGAAATATGGAATGACGGTGGACGGCTGTTGATTAAGGATTTGAAATCAAGCAACGGGACCTTTTTGAATGACCAAAGACTTAGTCCAGAAGGCACTGAAAGTGAACCCACGGAATTGCAACCCGGTGACAAACTTGTATGTGTTTCAGCCCTAATAGACATTTACTTTCCGCTTTTTCCTTTACTGCTTGTGAATATGTACTAACCTTTTTACTTCTTACGTTAAGGAATTTGGCATCGATATCGTTGGCGACGACAACAGAACCGTGATTCATCAGAAAGTCTCGACAGAAGTCAAAATTATATCAAGTTCCTCCAAGCGAGTGCCGACTACCGATGTATCACGCCCTCAAGTCAGGAGGAACAGGCCTGACATTGGTGGTGTGCGTCAAAGATTGCAAAATGAACTTACCGCGGCTTTAAATACAAACGATAAGATTATGTTTGCAAAATCTGAAGTTAAAGAGATGAGTAAACAGCTGTGGGAGAAGAAAAACGAGACCTTGTTTGAGCTGGCAAGATACACAAGACAAAAGGAAATGGTTGCAGCAAACAGTGGCAGCATCGAGTCGCAGAAGCATGCTGAAAACGTGCGGGCAGAAGAGTCTATTGCCAAGAAAGAAGCGAAAGAAGAGCAGGCACCTGATGACGTGAAGCAAAATTCTACGGTTGATATGGATGTCACGAAAGAAACTGCAACGAAAGAAACTGCAACGGCAGAAAACGTGAATTCACCAGTCGAGCAAAAAGGTTCAGACTTGCAAGAACCCGATAGGTCGGACTCGGTCGATACTGTTTTGGGGAACGCCCATGCTGAAGATACCGTTTTGAATAATTCGGTAATAATCAAGTACGTTCCGGAAGTATCTCACAAGGACAAACCGATTGATATGCGTTATCACCTGGAACAACTTCGGGAAGTATGCGAAAAACTTCGTGAAGAACTCAAGACGGAGCGAGAAGTCTCTGAAGCTCTTCGTCATGAATTATCTGATAGCAAATCACTAATGGCCTCACTGACCGAACGATTTCGACTCGAGCGGGAGAGCATGCTGCAGCAAATTGAATCTTTAAAGAAAAATGATGTCAGATTCCTCCAAGACCAACAAGCCGTGCATGCTAACGTAACATCCCCATCGGCCGAAAACTTGAAAGAAATAATAGAGCACAAAATCAAAGAAGCCCTGCAACTCGAAAGGGAGAAGTTAGAGGAAGAAATCAACGAACGAGAACGCCAGCAGTATCAAATAAAATTGGATAGCGAGATAAAACAAGAGAAAATGCGATTGGCTGAGGAATCGCGTTCAGCGATAGAGACGCAGGTGGCTGAACAGATGAATGCGTTCAAAGAAGAATGGGTGATGAGAATAAGAAATCGCAAGAATCATAGGAAAGATCCATCTAATCCTGTCAAAACCTCCGAGTCGACTGATGAGTTTATGGATGACGAGATGATAGAGGCAACGCTAGTTGCTTCTGCGAATGCAGTCAAATCACCAATTCGTCAAGAAAAGTCAACGGGGAATGCCGACAACTCTGCACTATTAAAAGTCACCTTTGGAATTGCCATGCTTGGGCTTTGCGTCTTGTTGGTTCGCCGTTGAAATCTCATATTTCGTGCGATTGCATCAACGGAAAGCAGTCGATCGATTGATCCATCATCAGATTCGTATCATCTCACCGAATCTGTTATGTTGCATATTGTAGTATAATTTCACACATTTAAAAACCTCATTAGTTGTAATAATTGGTCATATGGATGTTTGTCATCCATTGTAAGGGACTCAAAATCATTGTCATTATAACCTAATTATTTCCAAGTGTACAAAAATATCTTATTCAAATTAATATAAATAAAAGGGAACAACAAGAACGATTTTTCTTGTATACATTTGTGTACAGATCAAGTTTATTGCCCAAAGAAAGTGTGTAATGTATGTGTGGTAACTAACTCTATTTGTTCTATACATATGAGGAAAATCTCTCGATAAACCGGCATAGTTAGGAGGGTCAGCAGAAAATTTGTGTAAAGACGATCCGGTTTACCAAGTAGCCCGCTTTACCCAAATAATATCAATGATTAGTCTGTTTACTGAGGATGGCCGAGATTTTGTTTGCCGAGATTTGTTAAACAGTCCTCCAGGTTAAACCAAACTTTTCTCACTTGGAAATAAATGCTTTACTTTGCTTCTTCCGTCTCTTCCGTTTCGTCAAAATTATCAATCATGTTTTCCTCCTCTCGTTTCGACTCTTCCATTGCCTGAACCCTCACCTTAATGATACCAAATTTACCAGCTTGTCTTTCCTCTTGTTCCTTCAGCAATTTCCTCCTGTGGTTGAGACCATCTCTTGCAGCAACGCTCAAGACTCCAGCAATAAGCGTGACACCTCGTACAGAATCATCGTTTGCCGGAATAGGATATGTAACTTTACGCGGATCAAAGTCAGTATCAGTTATTCCAATAGTCGGTATATTCGCCTGCTTCATCTCGGCGAGAACAATTGCATTCTCCAGGGGATTCAACACAATAGCCAAGTCTGGTTTGAACACTTCCGGCGGCCCACCACCACCATCTGGATGCGCGGGTGTCAACTTGCCAAGTATCTGCCGCGAGTTACTTATCGTGCCAGGTAACCATCGCTTTGTCACTTGATACCCGTTGCATCGTCGAGCTGCTTCTATCGTAGCCTGTGCAAATCCAGCCCGAGTTCCAACAAAGAGAATAATCCCTCCGCGAAGAGCTACTTCTCTCACGACCCTGCAAGCACGACGAAGATAGACTATGGTGTACTCGAGATTAATGATCGAAATGCCGGCTCGTGTTCCAAAGATGAATGGAAAGGTTACTGGGTTCCAAAGCGATGTCGAGTGACCAAGATGTAATCCAGCAGAGAGTAGTTTGGATATTGTAATGTCATAAAGTGATTCGGGCGAGTATAAAGGTTTATATGGAGTATAAAAAATTTGTTTGTGTGTGCCTATTTTGTCAATGTATGGTGAGACTGGAAGAGAATGGAGAGGGAGAGGGAGAGGGGTTGAAAAGAAGGAAATTTAGAAAAAAAAAAACGCTGGAGGATAGAAAATCAATCGGTAGGTGGAATTTACCATTATCTTTGTTATATCCCTCTGGAGGTCGTATGCTAGGATCCATTGCGTTGAGGTACCTCCGAACGATCTCTTCTCTAAATTCATTATCGTTACTATTACTGCTGAAATGTCTCGCCGAAACCGCTAATTGCATTTAAACAATGAGTTAATGATGACTATTCTGCATAGTTCATTGATCCACGCTCACCTCGAATGATTTTGTTTCTTATCTGCACGATTGATACAGATCTTGTGGCGATCGTTCTTGCAAACATCTTTTCTAAATAGGCTTGTCGTCTCACTGCAAGCAAATGTTGGTTGTAGAGTTTGAACAGTTTCCTGATTATCGCATATGTAGAATGTATATTATCGGTTCTTGACCGATTTAGGAATGGAATCAACCTTATTATTATGTCGATCTCACCCCTTTAAACATGTCGCGTGTTATAGCAATGTTACAAATAATTATGGGATTTTTTTTTCGTTAGAAAAACCGAATTCTTTCCTGTGATCGAGTACAACTTTATTGCCAAGCTACAGCATGTTCTCTCCTCAACAGCAACACGAAAATAGGAACACATGACATACTCAAATAAACAATAAAAATCTGAAGCCCCAAGTTTTGTTGCAGGAATGTGACTTTTGTATTACAGTTTGTACTGCAATGGACTAGCCGCCCATTTTTATAATACTTGCAACTAGTATAATACTTATCAAGCAAACATTTAAGTAATCTGTCCATGGTTGGTCTCCTCTGGCATACAGTTTCATGCATAATATCAACACCCTCATACCCATCCCATCACCAAGCTTGTCATCAGATATAATATTTTTCAAATAACCAGAGAGTGTCTTAAGGGCACATGAAAGATCTGTTGCAGACTTTCCACATATTAAATCGAACTGTTTCCTTTCAAAAAAGTTGAGCTTTTCATAAAGGTAATTATGCTCTTGTACTTGGTACAGATCTGCTAGAACCAAGACTATTTTTTGTTTCATATGATTCCAATCATGAAAATCCTGTTTAAGGAATATTATATCAATAAAAAAACTGTAGTAGCAAAAAAAAACAAACAAACTCAAGCTAGATGTAATAAATCTGCCATACCTTTAGACTGATGAATATGACCAGATACAGTACTTGCAAAGTGCTCTTTGAACAGTTGCTTCTCATGCCAGATATTGGAATATTTGAACAGCTCTAGCTGATGTTTCTTAGGGGCAATCGGAACAGCAAAGAAATTCTTCAGCATAGCGAGATTGGTGGTTTTGCCAAAACATCTTAGCCGGACAACAAGAGATACAAGTATATCACTATCAAGGGGTTTTTTGACAAGAAGGGTTTTGTCAACCAAGGAAAAACCCTGATTCACTACAAGTTTCTCTGGTTCTATTAAAGAATCGAAGGGGAATAATAAATAATACTATTTTTAAAATTTAACAGGGCTATTACTATCTTCGATTTGTTTTTCCGACGTCGGGTATCCGTCACTTGTCTCACTAAACTAATTAAACATTAATCGTCTCGATAATTAATTATGAACTCTCGTTCCGTTATTCACGTAATTGATCAGCGGACAGCTTACTAGCTTGA